GATGTCTTGCGTACCATGTTTATGAATAATATCAAAACTTTTGCTCCGAGAAACATGTCTGCGAGCTCTTTAAGTAACATTTGTAAAAGTGCCCGAGCGCACTACGTACGCATCACTATTAAGCAGTAAAATAATAATCATCAGGGTGCTTCAGCTCATTTAATAAGAAGAGACTGCTGCAGCGCTCTCGAAGTATTTTTCCCGTACATTCATAAGTCACGGACATTTTATGTAAAATACAGCCCGGAAGAATTATAATCTTTTTAAAATGAGATATTTTTGCATTTGAAAGGAGTACGTCAAGTTTGCCCAGCGATTATATATTCACGCATAATTTTGAGATAAATTCAGTTGTTCGCGAGAGAAATAAAAATCGATGGGAACGTCGATGTTAGAAAAAATTACGCGCAGAGAATTTTTTTTTGGCTACATCGAGAGGAGAGACATTTTATTTTGAAGATAAAAAAGGACTTGACGTTTTGTCAGTATAGATTTAAGCGAAAGGCGACAATGGTTTAGTGACACACGGGAAACGATTAAAACTTGATGAAAAAAGACGAAGGAGATTTAGTGTAATCGATGCACATTGCGAAATCCATAATTAATCATTGAATCGTTACTTGTCGAATCTCGGCACATCTATAATTGAGCGAGTGCAATGATGACGTCAAACCTGGGGGCCAATTTTATGCAGACTTTTCATGTAATATTTACATTTTTCTTTTGGATGAATATTTGATTCGGTTCGTCTCGGCATCGAGTAGCAATAATTTCTAAAACGATGAATCATTTCGATCTTATTTTCGTCCGTGCAAACACACGTATACCAGCTCAAAGAAATAAATTGTTTATATGCACTTTAATCTTCGAAAAGTGAATAAATAACTGCGAACGCACACGCACACGCACTCACAGAGTACGCTAATTAATGTCCTAAAATCGAAGCGTGCCCGCGTATTCGCTCTCTGGCGAATATCGATTTCACATCTCTGCGCGAGGCGAGTAGTGCGAATCGACGCAGCGTCAGACATTATGCCACTCTCGGGTGCGTGTATATAAGTCACTATACGAGCACTCGTGGAACGAAATCCGCCAGGCGTGAAACAAAGGCTTCGTTAACACAAAAAAAAGAGAAAAAAAACCCCGTCTGCATAATACGATCCCGTTCGTCATCGTTAAGGCCTCGCTCGAAATTATTCCCACTGAGAGAGAGAGAGAGAGAAAACGAAAGTATGTATGCGAAGGTGTAAAAATGAGAGGAGAGAGAAAAGAAATAAAATGAGTCTTCGGTTCAGGTATCTATACTTGATAATATAATACACGTCGATGGCTACGCTGCACTATCTCGATATGCCGCTGCTGATATGTATATAGGAGGCCAGAAATAACGAGCGGTAATGTAGAGAGGATTATCACGTGGACGCGCGATAATAAAACTGGCCCCTCTAATCCATCCATCGCGGCTGCTGCTGCTTTGACGAGAAGTATTTAAACTCTCCTCTCACCGCCAACAACCTCGAGTGCGCGTATATAGTTGTATGTATTTTCCGTGTTATATATGCGTCGATGTGCGTGTATACATGTGCGTGGGCGGGCTGGACTCCGGCTCATTATATGCCCTCGAGTGTGCATACGTGCCTGTGTCCGCGCATAAATTGTACGAGAGCGAGAGAGCTCGTAGCAGCGCGAATAGTGTGTGCGTCGTTTGCATTGGGAGTCCGATGCATAAATGCAAAATGGGCAAAGAGGCCTCGCGCGCCCCTCTGCACACATACAATATATACACAGTGTATAATATAGCCAATGCCGCTAACGGACAAACTCGTTCGTTTTTGGTGCTCGACACATGCACACACGCACGCACACACAGCCTCGAAAAGTGATGTTTCCCCGTCGCCACGTCCAAAGTGATTAGATGATCGCTGCCATTGCTGCGTTATATCCTGCGTCGCGTTATACGGCGACAATGCCTATTCGGAATTCGAATGTCCCGCGTATACACGTACTTTTATCGTTGCGACTCGCTCGCTCGCTCGTCCACGCGACAAAACGACGACGAACTATTATTATACACGCTATACGGATCGTGTCTATACACGTGTACGCGGAGCGCATGACGATCGCGTATTATTGTTATTATTATTATTATCATTATTGCTCGTACAATACTTGGAAAATTAATTTGACCTAGCGCATCGAAGCCATAAGTTATTTACGCATGCCATATAATAATGTGAAGAAACTGTCATTTATTTGATGGGTTTGACGCGTTTTTCTCAACCATCTTTACGTACAGCTAAGTACAAAAGTACAAGGAGAGGGAAATGATCGTGTAATAGTGTGTGCATTCGAATTTTGAGATCAATCTTGATCGTTTACTTGAACAGTAAAGTCGGTACGTGTAATAACCAACACTAAATGTCGTTTCTTCTTCTTACAATTTCATCCAGCTCTTGTTACAGAAACTCCGTTTTGTTTGTGCTGAAATTTTCCTCCTCCCTAAAGAGTTATAAGATGTAAATCGGTGGTATCTCACAATAATGCAAAATGCAATAACTGCATATCATTTTTATTATTATTATCATATACACTGTCAAAAGGCAGTTCAAGGCATTTCTATACACTGAGATATCAAATAATGATGGAATTCATTACTGCAATGGATTTGAAGAACATACGTAACCTTTATATTTAATGTGTTTGTAACTTTACATCATTATTTAATTATCTGACTAAACATTTGAGGGATAATTGTCAAATACACTAACGATCAAAAAAAACATAGACATATCGTACGATATCCGAATTCTTAAGCTCTAACGGGGTCCAGTCATCTAAGAGAGCGAGATCCTTGCTTCGTGGCCACCTAGCGGTTGAAGTCCCTGACCAAGCCGACAATACATTAACAACTCGTTGAGTTGTTCGTTTCTCTGGTGGTCCGAGAGATGAGTTGTGCGTTATTGTTATGAGTTGGAGTTCCAAAAGAAGTATCGTGTCTTGTAAAGAGAAACGCAAGTTGGGTATTCTTATCGAAAGCTCGGGCAGCAGCCGTCGCCAAAGACGTATATGCGTGTATTTATTCGAATAGGTAATAGCTCTCTCTCTCTCTCTCTCTCTTTCTACGATACATAGAGCGTATACGTAGCTGCGCAGTACACGCATTGGCTCTGGATCCTCATTGAAATGCAGAGCGCAGCAAACTACATATCATTGATGGTACACACAGAGCAGAAGCAGTTTCAAACGCTCGTACGTATACGTCTGTGTGCGTAACGTTTCTCGCCCGCGAGGCGAGGCGCGAGAGAATATAAGCGTATACGTATACATATATACGAGTGGTGTACAGCAGCAGCAGCAGCGTAGTGCTATAACACAGAAGCGTGAATAGCAGCCATCTCTGCGCTGTATGTACAGCCCCGCGCCGTTTTCCACTCCCGCACACACATATAGACACGCACGCTCGCGCGTCTCTTTCTCGGCAGCAGCTATAGCTAGCTAGAGAGAGAGAGAGAGAGAGCTGACATTGTACAAGTCGAGCCAGCTCCAGCAGCTATACGGCCCAGCCCTGCCTGCAGCAACAGCAGCAGCAGTAGCAGCACAGGGTGTGAATGATACATCAGTAACATCTGATGCAAAGCACGTATGCAGGCGCACACACACACTCGTGAAAATCTATGGTTGGCATTCATATATCAAGTCTATATCAGTAACGTATACGATGTGTTGGGGAGGGGAATCCTCGCGTTATATTATTTGTACGTACGTATGTACGATGCGTATGTGTAGGCGTGTGCGCGCGTTAGGCGAATTAATTTTTTTTCTCTCTCTTTTCAACTCGAGAGCGACTGATGAGCGACGACGATTGCAATAAGCTGCGCGCGCAAAACTTGATAGCAATTAAAAAAAAAATGTTCATCTCGCCCACGAGAGACACCCCCTCCCCCCTGAGAGCTAACGAACATCACGCGTGTCGTATACGTGTGGAGCGCTATATTTTATCCATGTATACGTATGTAGGCGCAAGCTCGCACCGGGTAACGATATCATAGTTAAGTTTGTGATTTCTTCCTCGTCGTGTGTCTGAGCGCCACACGGTCGACGGCAATCGAATCTTGTTTTTTTTTTTTTCATTTTTCACGAAGCCACTCGTTATGCATAACATGTGCAGCAGGAGGTCAATCACGTCACAGCTCGTACGTCGAGAATGAAATTAAACGTACACATTAGCACCTGCTTTTTTTCTTCTACTCTCACGTCCGTATATACGCTGTATGTAAATATACGCGCGGCGGCAGCGGCGGTGGTGGGCGAGGGCAACGGGAATAATTCCATATAGCCATCGCGCACGTACGTCTGGCATCGCTTTTGCCGCCCTTGCGCGAACGCGCAGGCAGCGCAGGTAGCGAGCAAGCAGTGGCTTCATTAAAAAGTTAATCCTCCAACTGCTATGATAGAGCCGCCGCCGCCGCTGCTGCTGCTGTTGGCGCGGGAAAGAGAAACGAATATATGCTCGTCGAGGGCTTCAACGTCGATTTCAAACTTTATATTGAGGGCTTTTCAACTTGCTCGCGCTGCAATAACCTCGAGAGCTTATATGCGTGTGTGTGTATATATACACGTGAGAACGCGCGACCTGAAGCTGGCTGGAACGCGCGAACCATGAACCTCCGCAGTATATAATAATGCACTTATCATGTAAATTGGAAATAGTTACTAGTTTAAGTTAAGTCGAGGTTTTTTTTTCTCTACTTTCACCCCGGCTTTTAGCTCAACAGCCATTTTCATGATGCTTTTCGCGATTTAACTAGGCGCCGCACAAGCGCATATGTAAACATTTTACGCATATACATTTTTTCTCAAAATTTCAGGTTTTTTTCGGGCGTTTTTAACTGATCACGCACTGTTTCGATCTTTCGCAATTGAATACGAGTGTATACCATTAATCTTTCGATCAATCGCAATCGTCCTTGAATAAACCGTTTTATTTTTTGTGCTTTCAGATGCGGACACGAGTGGCGATGATCACCTTAATGCACGATAGATAAGAGGACTGTGCAGAGGAGAAAAAACAGGGAAGAAGAAGAAGAAATAAAAATGAGACGCGACAACGATGACGATCGATCCCGAGGCGCTTTGTGCAGCAGCAGCAGCGGTAGTTGGTGTCGACGATCGGCGAGGCTGGCCAAGTGCTACAACAACGACATCGCTGAGGCCGTCGTCGTCGCCTAATGGCCGTCAACATGCCCGGCCTCGGCGCTTATCAGCGCCGCCGACTTCGAGAGATCCTACTCGTGCTGCTATTGTCCGTGCCGACCGGTCTCCATGGCATCAATCTGGGTATGGGCGCATTTATGTAACGTAAAATATTGAATTGTATCATGTAGCCCCTCGTCCTCGTGGTTATATATTCGTCATTTTTAATCGAGCTAGCGAGGAGTATAAATAATTTGCATACTCGAACGAAGCAGAGGTATATGCCAGTGCCTACCGAAAAATGGACTCGAGAGTCAACGAGCAATGAAAAGTTCATTTGAATTCTCGCGTCTGACCATACAACACACTTGAACCACTTGTGCGCTGAAAAAGAGTATATTATATTATACATGTACAATAATATTCCGTACTCGCGGCGGAGAACTTCAGAAGCTCTGTCCTGGGCATTAAGTACACTTGGACACGGCTCTTGACCTAATTTATTTAAATTTATTGTATTCGCAAGGGTATACACGGTAGTACATCTGATGAATTTTACTCTCGTTAGATATCTCTCTGCCTCTGTCCCTCTGTAAATAATGCACATCGCGACATCTTCTGCGACGACGTTCATTTCAATTTCGTTCTTGGCTTCTTTGATGCGAGGCAATTTGTCCGGGCTATCGCGACGTAAAATTCGCGCACGTCGGTATAATATTTATTCATCGATTGATATTCAAAGCACCGACGAGTCCGGGGTAAATATCGTACGGATATAACCAATTTTACGAATGCCGCAAGCTCTTGGCGTGATTTTAAGATAAGATATCAAACGAAGGAAGAAATTTACTCACGGTTAATATTTATACGCGCCGTGTATGAAGGACAAACGTATAGTCGCAGAAAAGGATACGACTCTGCGCTAGGTTGGAAAACTCGAGAAGTTCTATTAATTTAACTCATTGACATTTCATCGATGTATGTTTTTGATTTTCTCGGCACTCGTGCCCGCGATATAGGTATAAATTTCTGTCAATCTACTTTTACGCCAAAAGAGGCGAGCAAATACGCTAGATATAGGTCGATCTGGACTTTGCGTGTGACCGAACGTCGATCGATAAAATATATTATACAGTGGAAATTACATGATTGAATAGACTTCTGTAGAAAAAAGAATTCGATAAATTGGAAAATAGATTAAATGGTGCACAAAATTGGCGTGTTAATCCTATAGCATTGCTTTTTCTCTTGTGATTTTTAAAGATTTTGGGCATGCGTCACCTAACGGTCGATTAGGTATTATTCGATGTTCTGCTCGATATAGACGATTATATTTGAAGCATATTTTTAGAACCCATACTTATAGTAGTCAAAAATGTTTTATGTTTTGAAAGTAAATTTATACTCAAAAAAAGTTTTGAATTTGAAGTGATAATCCTTTGTTATAACTGATTGTTGTTTATAAAAATTAATGTACAGGACTTGGGTGTTACCCCAAATAGCCAAGGACGTCACACCTCGAAAAATATTATAAAAGTTCAATTTACGAGCGATTTCCTTCGAGTTGGGTGTCTTCTTTGAACGTTGTTTCAAATGCGACTCTATTTGGACCAATCCACAGCTTTGAATGATAGGATAATTCTAATTTTTGAGTTTAAAAATCAAATCGTCGAACCATTTCACGATCCGCTCGATAATTAGCATATTATACCTGCAAACGTCACGCGGGCCAACAACGTGAAAACGTGAAATACATAATGGGCATTGTTGTGCTATTCGAGTAGCGCAGGACCTCGAGGCTATGAGCGAATAATCATAGCCATGAATTCCCCGGTAATTTCATCCCGAAGTATATGTACGTGTACACGGCTCAGCTCGCTGCCGCGCGCACTCGTTTAGAATCGCATCAAAAGGCCGTCGTGTCGCGAGCTCGGCACAATTCGCTCGTATTTATACAGCATATATAGATACGCGCGTATACATCGTGTAAACGCCAAATTTTTGCATCGCACCCACGCCACCAGCCGCGCTGCTTTCTACAGTGGTCCTTTTCAAACGCGGCGCGTCATGTCGTACTACTACTGCTGCTACCACGGGCCGAAAGTCAAAACAACGAGGACGTAATGGTGTGCTGCTTGCGCCGCGCGCGGCACCCCACTGCTGCACGGCATTCATTCATTTATTCGTCACATTCCTCTTCATCTCGCGGGGGAAACGTCGCGTACAAAGCGACTGCTGCTGCTGCCGTTGCCGCCTGGCTGCGAATAGCCTATACGCGAGAGAGAGAGAGAGAGAGAGAGAGAGAGAGAGAGAGAGAGAGAGAGAGAAAGAGAGAACATAGGGAGAAGGGAAGGCAGGGTTGTGTTGGCTTGACTTGACTGATACAGCTAACGGTACAAATGAAACGTCAACAGCAACGTTGAATTAACAATACTATCTAATAGCTGCTCAAAAGCAGACTATTGTGTAATAATAGCAAAGATCTCTCTCTCTCTCCTCTCCCTCGAGCTCTTCTGTGTGCGTGTATGCGTAGAGAGGCCTTGCGTTGATGGTGTAACGTGCACAGTCGTCGTCGTCACGAGTCGAGGGTTGCTCCTATTCGTTTTTGGAATATTATTTATTATATCACGGAGAGATAGAGCTTGCGCAGCTCGGATACTCGTTCGAGCCTACATATAGTTTCCGAGTAATTCAACTGTCTGCGAAATAACGTTTCAACGCGAGATAAACGAGATGCAAACGTACATGGCAATTCGAAAAGCAGATCTCGAGCTTGCGTGGGGGGAAAAAAATAGTCGCAAAATGCAGCACGAGCTTTTACATCGACGTAACGGCTTTCGGTTTAACCTTATAGTGTGTACACGAGCTATATGTAAGCTACGTAGGTGCATGTCCGCCGAGCGATGGGTCGGGTCATTAAACTCGAAACGAACAAACTACCATAAGTCACCCGAAACTTGGCGGAAGTTGGGAAGGGGCCTGGGATGAAGAGCTGCGAGCTTTCGATCGGCGACGCAAGTATAAGCGCTTGCACGAGAGAGAGAGAGCTGCGGTGTGGAGAGAGAGAGAGAGAGAGAGAGAGAACGAGGCAAGTGCAGCCGAGAGCTAGATATACACGTACGATATATCTATACAAAGACGCGAGCGCTATAGCAGAGAGCTGTATATATGCGCTGCACTTTGGAGAGTACGACAAACACGTGGCCTCAACTTGTGGCCGTGTAGCAGCCGACTTGGAGCGAGAGAAAGACCGGGGAGTGTATAAGCCACCTTAGCACGGCGCATCGTTCGCTGTGTATAATAAGCCAAATGAAGACGCGGTATTAGCAATTGCGATTGCTGCGTTGCGTCTTCGTTGTAGTTGTCGTTGTCGTTGTCGTTGGCTTTCCATGCATTAATCAACGACTGCGCATAAATTGATTTGTTTTTCGCCCTCTCTCTAAAAGCTCTATGTATATATACAACGCGTCATTCGGTTAAATCTAAAATATCATCGTCGTCCTCGACGTCGTAGTAGTCGCTATTTCTCTCTATCTCTCTATCTCTCTCACTCTCGTCGGAAAAGCTCGAATCCGGCGACAGCGCAGATTCAATTGCGACGTAGTGGTACACGTAATATCGCTCGAGAGATCGTTTTCGCGTGTAGCGGTAGTGGTAGTAGTAGTAGTCTAGTGTCGCCGCATCTCGTGCTGCTTCACGCACGCACACACATACACCTACACGTGTAAAGCTCGAGAGTCGCAATAAGCGTAGCGAGCGCAGAGCAACGCGCGCGCGCGAGTACCCGAGCGAAAGGCTAATATAAAGTTTAAACAATACTGAATAAACGTTGGCTTGACACAGTTTCGGGCTTGGCGCAATTCGGGGAGGAGCAGAGAGAGAGAGAGAGAGTCGACTACGTTCACTTTTCGCCCTGCGCTGTATCGCACGCACACACTAGCGTGCAGGATACGAGTTAGTGTCTACGAATACACATAATGATAGCAGCGGTTGCGTCAGTAGTAGTACTACTACTACTAGTAGTCTAATTCTGGTAAACGCGCGTCGCTGTACTACGAGCTGCTGTTGCACGGCTGGACCCCTCGAGCTTGCGGCTGATCTCTTTGCGAATGTGTGTCGCCTGGTATATCGTAGCAGTGCTCTCGCCACATTGTATTATATATAGTGCATGCGCTCGCGCGCGGGGAAGTTCATCCACGCGAGTCGCTCGTTGAAACGCGAAAAGCTGACTAATCCGACAAGCGGTGCATCCTGCCGTCGCCTCCGCAACATCGTCGTCGTACGTATATGCGTATATACATAGCGGGGGAGTTTACCTGCGCCCGAAACTTTCGCTCAACGAGCTGCCTGATATATATACGCACACACACACACACACAGACACGTATACGTGCATGTGCTGTACACGAGAGCGAGAGAGACAAGGCAGACGATATTCAAGCGGGTACTACGACGTGTATATAAGCCAAGCTAGTTTAGCCTCGGCCACTTATAAAGTGTCGCTGAGGGCCAGCTTAAATGGCAACTTTGGGTATGATTTATCTTGGCCGATGTATATGTGTGTAAGCGCGGGTGGTACTACAAGTTCTACAGACGCGCGATCACCGCTCGCTGCGGGCCTCGAGGTTTAAGGCGTCGTCGTCGTCGTCGTCGTTGATGCGCGCCACGTCGACAAAGTATTTCTCGCTTATTATGAATTGTTTGAATTCCGCGAGCTCATTCCCCTGCACACGACTGTCGTCGTCGAGTAGAGTAGAGGCATGATGCGCGATATTATTTATGCACGACTACTAGAGACTAAAACGACGTTTATAGAACCACAAGACGACAAAATTGCATACCTATCAAATATAAATTCTCGTTTTGTTATACAATGTTGATAATAGTGTAAGACGTGTCTTTCAACGAGTCTTTATCTAATGCATGCTCGTTGTTACGTTGTATCGTTTCAGGACAATGCACACGAGCTCTGGGCATGGAGAGCGGCGAGATTCTCGACGAGGACATCACGGCTAGCTCGTTCTACGATCCGAGTCTGGGCCCGAAGCACGCCAGGTACGTACTCGTCAGCTGTGCGTTAATATAATACAAAGAGATAAGGATTGTCATCCTCGTCGCACATTTATTCATGCAGCTGTACCTAATATACAAATGGATCGAGCCCGAGACATATACGTATACAGCATAGACACGCGAGATACAAAACCGCCGCGATTCTCGAGTGGTTTACTCGAGCTCTTGCGGTATCCGCTATCTTGTACATTCGAGGAGAGTATCAATGCCCCGATGTATGAAGCGACGACGCGGCGAAGAGGGTATTTCAAAGTACGGGAATATGCTAGAGCGAGTCTCTAATACCTCGTTGAATATGCATCAAAGTCCGACGATAGTCGCTGCGAGCGCTTCGATGAGCTTTCGAGAATCGACCTCTGGCCTTTGCGCCGAGCTCACAAAGTTAAATGCTTCTCGGCGCTCGTTCTCCGTCGTGTATGGACGGGAGAGCTCGTTTTTTGTTTACTCTTTCGAAGTGAGACTTCTTCGTCGGGTGGAAGGTACTCGAGGTAGTTGCGAACCAAAAATAGATTTTTTTTCAAATTTGAGAAAATGACTTCTTTGGATTTTGACGAATCTATACACGTTTTGAAAAATTAGAGCTACCGAGCCTAAGAGTTAATTATAAACTGAAGTATCAGAAGCCAAAGTTTCGGAGTTACAGACTTCGTAAAGTATGATTTTACAGTCTCTTCTCGGACTTACACAGGAGCGAATTTTGGAGAGTAAGACACTAGGTTCACTTAGAATCAATAAAGAAATTGGGAAAAAAAAACCTGGACTTGCAACTACCTTCTCCCCCTACCATATTTACTTCTAACTTCACAACCGGTCGCTAGGTGGCGCATCACTTGGAAAGTCGTTCTCGCAAGTGGCAAATTTCTCTCTCGAGTTCAAAGCAGCCGCATATATACAAACGCTATCGAGTCTGTGCTACGCTCGCACAAACAGCCGTGCGATTAATAAGCCGTAAAGCGAGATTTTCTCTTCAATATTGTTACACTAGTACCCCTGCGGAACGGCTTGCTACAAGCAAATTGCCTCTGATTTTCGCGTAAATTCCTCCCTCTCTCTCTCTCTGTCTTGCCTTCTCGGATACCTTATACACATGGAAACGAACCGCCTCTCCGCCTCTGCATAATACCTGTATTAGACGCGCTCGCCTAGCGCTGCAAGTGCGCGAGGTCTTACGTGCAGCTATAAATCTGCATTAGGACGCGGAGTTTGCCGCTCGCGCTCTCTAGCTCGGTGCAGCGGGGCATTTCCAGCTGCGGCCTCGTTTTTCTCTCTTAACAGCGATACGATTTTTTGTCATTGTTATTGTTGTCTCGTCCTCTTATTTATCTCCGACAATTAACATGATCGCGTGCCCTTCTTCGTGCGCGCTCACGATCTAATTGTAAACTGTGTACAAACGCGACAAAAGCTCCAAGAAAGCGGCGAATGATGAATTTATCGCGATTATTACAAAAGTCGGAGAAAAAAGCTGACCTAATTATGTTTACTTCTTGAGAGAACGAGACGGAGAGAAAAGGGAGACGCAGCCGGCCGTTGCCGCGGGGCATAACTGCTTTGCCTTGCAAAGTATCAACTCCCGGAAAAGAGTCAGCTCAAATTATATATATAGTTACATTAAATTACGCCGGATGAAATTTTCATTGCGAGCGCGAGGGAGAAAAAAAAAGCAGCGCGACATTAATGGTGTTTTCGTGTACGAGCGCGCCGCAGTTATGACTAGAAACTCGCGCTCGGCGCGTGTTCGAAACTCGAGCGAGAAATAATAATGATAAAAGTAGCACAACAAAAAAAAAAGGGTCGCAAAAACCACGTGTGAATGATATCGTTCATAAAATTGACGCGTATGAAATTGAATTACCTCTTACGGCCGCACGTACGTGTGGCGCGAGTAGAAACAAAAAAATTGATAATGCCCCAAAAAAAAGTGGTTGTTTATATACGCGTGGACCGAACGGACACAAAAGCGCGCCCGGCGTCGTAAATACAGATGAAGTGCGAGAAAAAGGGGATATTAAGCGATACCGAAGAGAGAGCAAAAAAAAAAAAAGACGGCGGGAAAAAAAGGGGGAAAAGGATTATTTATGAAAACTGGAAAAGAAAGTCCTGGGTTAAAGGAAGAAGTAGCATGTATAAGAGGGCATAGAGGAAAAATGAAAGGACGAAAGAATATCAAGCGCGATATAGCTATATATATACTTATATACGTATATGAGCAATTCTCTAAATGAAACGCATTTTTGGAGGTAGAATCGCGGCAAATTTTTTTTTCAACCTACGCGGATACGGACCCCCGGGAAATGTTTTTGGGGGTCTTAGGAACATGTAACCACGTAGGAACCATTGAAATTTCAATAGTGCTTACTTTTATAGCTACTTTTGTGATTTAGAGGACGAAAAATCATGTTTTCTCGTAAATACGGCTAGTTACTCGATTTCCAAGTCGTTGAAAAAGTATCAAAACTCATCTGAAAAATTTAACTGACTACTGTAATCGATAGGAAATTTCCTCAGCTTTCCGATGGTACGATTCGATTTTCCGAAATAATCAATTTTTACCGCAAAAATCGCCATCATACATTGAGGGCTAAATATATCGAAAAATTCAGTACGTAAAAAGTGAACTTTTTGGATAATTGTTGATTTTTCCTTGTGAAAATGAAATTTATCGAAAAATCTGACTACCCCATGAGAAAGCTGAGGAAATTTTCTATCGAAAGCATATCTTCATTTATTTTTTGAGTCGAATTACAATGTTATAAATGGGAATTTCTTTAACGTTGTTCGCTGTTTTTTGTTTCCGAGCTGATTCAGAGCGGTCGCGAGGTTTTCGGCTCGCTACAATCAAAACTAGCTCGTAAATTCCACTGAAAAAATAAATGAATATATGATTTCGATAGAAAATTTCCTCAGCTTTCTCATGGTACCGTCAGATTTTCCAAAAAATCTCATTTTGAACAGGAAAAATCAACAATAGACATCAAAGATCCCTTTTTCCTTACCGAGTTTTTCGAGATATTTAGCTTTGCACGTTTGATGGGGATTTTCTCGGTGAATGTGCGACTTATCGGAAAATTTGATACCACCATTGGAAAGCTGAGAAAATTTCCTATCGAACCTAGAAGCCAGTTACTATCTTTAAATGAGTTTTCATACTTTTTCAGCGACTTAGAAATTGAGTAATTAGCCGTATTTACGAGAAAACATGATTTTTCGTCCTCTAAATCACAAAAGTAGCTCTGAAAATAAGCACTATTGAAATTTCAATGGTTCCTACGTGGTTACATGTTCCTAGGACCCCCAAAAACATTTCCCGGGGGTCCGTATCTGCGAAGATTGAAAAAAAAATTTGCCGCGATTCTACCTCCAAAAATGCGTTTCATTTAGAGAATTGCTCATATAGGTGTATCGCCCCCCTGCGCGATACGTTTACTCTTTCCCGGGGCGGCGGTTTTGAGCATGCTGCAACGCCGCCACTGCTGCTACCAGTGTATAGTATATAGTGAAAATAGCAGCAGAGTACTACTGCAAGAGAGAGAGGACGCGCAGCGAGAAAAATAAAAGCGACCTGAATGCAGCCCGAAGGCATATAGACGTTCCTCGACTCTCTCGTGTGGTATCTTGCACAAGCTAGAGTGTACTCTGCGCCATATACACATTTATAAATATAATAATAATAATAATAATAATAATAATAATAATAATAATACTTGGGATATTGCATTTAAAAAACTTTATGGCTACGTATACATTGCGCAACTACGTTTCTGTGTGTGTGTTACGTCCCTGCACGAGCTTGCGATTCGAGTCATTCGCTGCTTCTTCTTTTTTACTCTCGTATACCCTTTCGCGCGCTCATTTTCACCCAGTTTTTGCTGCTGCTGCCGGGGCTTCGCGTGTGCTGCGCGCGTACAGCACACACTTGCACAGAGATCGTATGTCACACGCGGGGGGAGCGCCTGGTAAAATTGTACACAATTTTTTACGTATATACGTATACGTACGTACAATGATAACAAAAACGATTTATATTTCGAGTTTTTAAAAAAAAAATATTTTTAAATGCCTCTTCGTATACATCCTTTTTTTTTGATCCCTCGGCTCGTCCGCCGCTTCGTATTCGCCTAATCTCAAAAATATACTGACTTTAATAACGTCAATCACGGGGAAAAATAATATTTTCCACACGCCGTCCGTCGATCTCGCGTACGCGATGCACCACGGCTGATTCGACTGAATTATGGTTGGTGTATGTACAGAGGAGAGGACCGATAAGCCGTGAACAGGAAGAATGACAGAAATATATGCGCGCGCACACACACACAGCGAGTGCCGCTGCTGCTGTGTGCCCCATATAGTCCCCGGCAAGTCAAGTGCATGTTTCGCGCGGCTCTTTTAATTTTTCATCTTCCTTTCTCTCGTACCGGTATGGAGCAAATTTTTACACGTACTTTTACACAGACGCGTCCAGCCGCGCATACGCCCAGAAATCGTGTACTATAACGCGTTTAAGGGCGGACGGGCCAACACGTGTGCGCAATGCTCCAGTCACTATTAGGTCAGAGCTCGCGATGTTATACATACACACACAGGCACACAGTGAGAAGCCATGGGCTGTATAGGGACAGCAGTAGAGGAGGGTAATAGCGACGACGACGGGCGTACTTATGATTTATGGGCGCTACGCGAGCCCGACACGCCGCCACCGACGCTCGCTTCGCCTCGAATCGAGGATTCATCATACCCGCGGCACGTCCGACGTGTCGTACAGTATAAGAGCACCCGCACATACACATGCACACACATATCTCGTCTTGTGCGATGCTCGAGTGCTGCTGCTGCTGCCGGCCCGCGCGCCAACGGTTTGTTTATCGTTGCTCCTCGTGCGTGTCCCCCCGCAGCTACTACATATATCCTCCGAAGCTTCGATAGTCGCTCTGATCGTACCTTATGCGATGTACACACGAGGATTAATTGATTGTTTTTCG